GGAAGGAAGGAAGGAAGGAAGGAAGGAAGGAAGGAAGGAAGGAAGGAAGGAAGGAAGGAAGGAAACGAAACGAAACGAAACGAAACCCGGATGGGGGTGAGACTGAGCCATGTATTTGGTGCCCACCTGGGTGGCTGCACCGTCATTAGTGCAGGAGGTGGTCACTCCTGAAGTCAGGACACTCTTGCAGTGAGATGGGCAGGGACTGGAACAGTACACGGGGGGCTCCTGGAGTCTGTTTTTGAGGGGGGTGGTGGGCAAATGGGTGACTGCTTAATAAAGATTCAAGCCATTTGTCGGCCATGTGGGTTCTTGGGTCTGTGCTTTATTTTACTTTGTATTACCATTGCTCCCAGGCCCCTCCACCCAGTCCCAGTCCCCTCTTGAGGCTGACCTGGCCACCAGGGGTTAGAAGCTGCTGTTAGACCTGACCCGCTAATGAGGCTTCTCTTTGTGCAACACAGTAATTTTTTTTTTTTTTTGATACAGGGTTTCACTCTGTCACCCAGGCTAGAGTACACTGGCGTGATCACAGCTCACTGCAAGCTCCGCCTCCCGGATTTACACCATTCACCTGCCTCAGCCTCCCGAGTAGCTGGGACTACAGGCACCTGCCACCTCGCCACCGCGCCCGGCCATATATATGTTTTTTGATACAGGGTTTCACTCTGTCACCCAGGCTAGAGTACACTGGCGTGATCACAGCTCACTGCAGCCTTGAACCTATTTTCCATTAGTTCCAGCCTGGGCAACAGAGCAAACTGTCTCAAAACAAACAAACGAATGTATACACATACACACATATATTTTTTAAGTTAACGCAAAAGGGCTCACACAGCACCTGTCCTCAGGGTTGATTTAACTTTTTCCCATTTAGAAAAAAAAAAAAAAAGTCCAACTTAACTGCCAGTGCTCATTTAATTTTACATAAACACACTCTTTGAAGCTGAAGCAAATCTGATTTTCAATGTGAAAATAAAATATAAAAACTGTTCTTGGAGTTATTTCTAAACAGAACATCAGAATCATCTGAATCACCAGAATCGTCTATTTTGGAACAGTCAGATTCATCAAATGAATCTTTGGCAAACAACTGTTTGAGAACAATGTTAACATCAAACGTAGGAATGCTATATTTTCCAAGATTTGACATTTTCAGTGATCAAGAATTACTATATTTTGTAACTGGAAATATCACTACTAAAAGCAGAATGCTACACATAAAATGGCATCTTTTATTTCCAAAGTTGATATGAGAGCAATGCAAAAATAGTAATAAAAATGAGATGCTTCATGGCAAAGTTATCTCGGGGTAAACGCTGCAGCCGCAAGTGCCATCAACCACTATCCTTGGAGTAAATGGAAAAAGGGTTAAGGAAGGACTGAATGGGCTGATCACGTAACATGTGCGAGAACCAATGAAAAAAAAGAATCATGGCCAGGCATGGCGGCTCATGCCCATAATCTCAGCACTTTGGGAGACCGAGGCAGGCAGACCGCTTGAGGTCAGGAGTTCGACACTAGCCTGGCCAACATGGCAAAACCCCACCTCTACTAAAAACACAAAAATTCGCCAGGTATGGTGGTGTAATCCCAGCTACTCGGGAGGATGAGGCAGCAGAATCACTTGAACCCGGGAGGTGGAGGTTGCGGCGAGCCAAGATCGCGCCACTGCACTCCAGCCTGGACAACAGAGCAAGACTCTGTTTTGAAAAAAAAAAACTTCACGTGTTAATTTTTCTTGATACTCTTCCTTTCTTTAGGTCGATCCAAGTTTGTGACTTACATCATTTCCTTCTGCCGGAAAAAACCTCTCTTTTCCTTTTATTGGTGAGATTCTATTGTATTTGAAGGGCCCTGCAGGTAGTACCCACCTGCAGCTCTCGAGAACTCCATGTAGGTCGGTACATTCACTATCCCCATTTTACAGCAAGGAAACAGAGGCTCAGACTGCCCAAGTGACGCACCCCAGTCACAGGGCTATGTGCAGGAAGCAACACTGGCCTCAGCTGGCTCCCAGGTCTCACACAGCGCTCACACGCCCCCTACCCCTACTGTGCACGCTCCTGTGAGCCCAAGAGCAGACACGAGTGTACACAGTTGCTCCCAGGCCCCTCCACCCAGTCTCAGTCCCCTCCTGAGGCTGACCTGGCCACCAGGGGTTAGAAGCTGCTCTTAGACCTGACCCACTAATGAGGCTTCCCGTTGTGCAACAGAGGTGTAATTTTTTTTTTTTTTTTTTTGGATACAGGGTCTCACTCTGTCACCCAGGCTAGAGTACAGTGGCGTGATCACAGCTCACTGCAGCCTTGACCTCCCAGGTTCAAGCTATCCTTCCAGCTGAGCCTCCCAAATAGCTGGGCCAAGAGGCGTGTGCCACCACCCCGACTAATTTTTATATTTTTTAGCAGACAGGGTTTAGCCATGTTGCCCAGACTGGTCTCTAATTCCTGACATCAAGTGATCCACCTACCTTGGCCTCCCAAAATGTTGGGATTACAGGTGTGAGCCACCGTACCCAACCCGAGCCCGACCCAAGTGTTAGAATTTTTTTTTTTTTTTTTTTTTTTGAGACGAAGTCTCGCTCTTGTCGCCCAGGCGGAGTTCAATGGCGCAATCTTGGCTCACTGCAACCTCCGCCTCCTGGGTTCAAGCGATTCTCCTGCCTCAGCCTCCCAAGTAGCTGGGATTACAGGTGCCCACCACCACGCCCGGCTAATTGTTGTATTTTTAGTAGAGATGGAGTTTCACCATGTTGGCCAGGCTTGTCTCGAACTCCTGACCTCAGGCGATCCGCCCACCTCAGCCTCCCAAAGTGCTGGGATTACACTGAGCCGCTGCGCCTGGCCCAAGTGTTAGAATTTTTAAAAGTATTTAACAGGTGAATCTCCAGGGAATTATGCTGGGGGAGGGGGGAAAAAAAGTTTCTCCCAGAGGGTTCCTCCTGTACAGTTCCGTTACTGTAACATTAGTGTCTAGAGAACAGATAAGTGGCTGCCAGGGGTTTGAACAGACTCCAGCTGAGGCAGGGTTTTGGGATGGAGATGAAAGGTCAAGGCCAGAAGAACCCTGACAGTCCTGGAGCTATTCAGGATCCTCACTGCCTCGGATACACGACCCTTCACAGTGAGAAAGTTGTATAAAAACACACACACCAGACGTGTACGAGTAACATGGAGAGTCTGGAAAGATCGGGGGGTTGTGTGAGAGTCAATACAGGAAGTCCTCACTCAACATATCAACAGGTTTTACGAAGCTGTGACTTTAAGTGAAAAGATGTGTAACAAAACCAATTCTGCCACAAGCTAATTGACACATAAACAAGAATGAAGTTCCTACAGCATATTTCTGGTCACAAAACCATCATCAAATTTCTAAAGAGAAATCAAAACACTTCTAAAATTAAACACTGAAATGAATGCAAGACACACGTACACATAAAAAAGATGAGTAAAAACAAGTAAAATAATGATTTACCCAATTATCCCAATTCAGGGTCTTGGGTGGCCGGACCCCATCCCAGCAGCTCAGAGCACCAGGGGGGCACCCACCCTGGACAGGATGCCAGCTCACTGCAGGGCACTCACCCCACCACACTCACTCAGGCTGGGGCCACGGAGACTCACCGCTTCACCTACACTTAACCTAACATGCACATCTTTGGGATGCGGGAGAAAATCCACACAGACATGGGGAGAACGTGCAAAATCCACTCAGACCAGAAATCAATGTTTTTTTCTCATCGGTGTTACAACAGTGTTAAATGAAAAGGCATTATTCGAGGACCCTGTATTCTGGTGAGGATACTGACTACAGATGTTACTGTTAAAGGAACCAGCTGGAGGATACCCAGGTGGTGTATCGCTCCTTACAAATGCATAGGAATTGATAATTATCTCTATCATGTCAATTAATAAACAGGACTTTAGTAAAGCACAACGTAACTAAAAACCAAGTAGATGGAGTTGACAGGAACAGAACCCCCATGGGGAGCCCCGGGAAGTCAGCTGCTCACCCCAGAAATGGGCTGACGAGCTGCAGGAGCTCGGAGCCAGACACCAGCTCCTGGTTGAAGAGCGCGATGCAGCGGAGGAAGTTTTCGTACACCTCCTGGCTCTTCAGCACCCGACGCACCTGCGGAGAGAGCAGTCAGGGACCACTGTGAACCCCCGCTCCTCAGCCTCTGGGCCTGGCTCACTTGGAAGTCACCCACATGGGTGTGCGATATGGGAACCAGCTGTGTCTGTAAGTAAATGAGATGTGCTGCAATTCACACAGCCCATGCACACAATCCATGCACCAATTCATGGCCTGTGCACACGATCTGTGCAGCAATTCACATCCCATGCGTGTAATCTGTGTAGCAATTCACACAGCATGGGCACAAGATCCATGCTGCAATTCACAGCCCATACACGCCATCTGTGCAGCAATTCACACAGTTTGGGTACGCGATCTGCACAGGAATTCACACAGTCTGTGCACGCAATCCGTGCAGCAATTCACAGTTTGTGCACACGATCTGTGCAATTCACACAGGCCATGCACGCCATCCGTGCAGCAAATCACACAGCCTGTGCATGCAATCGTGCAGCAATTCACAGTCCATGCACGCAATTCATGCAATTCACACAGTCTGTGAAAGCACTCTGTGCAGCAATTCACAGTTTGTGCACGCAGTTCTTGCAGCAATTCACAGAGTCTGTGCACGCGATCTGTGCAGCAACTCAGCCCATGTACACAGCCACCTTGTTTGCTCTGCCCACAGACCCTGGGCGGGAACCCCACAATCATCCCTGATACACAAAAAAGCTACACAGCTGCCGGGTGGCAGACGTGTATGTCTTCATACTCTGCTTGGACTCTCAGCACCCACTGTGGACTCCCGCCCACACCCCATGCCTGGGCTGCAAGGTGGCCCACACTCCCTTCTGCAGTGAAAGCTGGGGGCCAGCCCCATCCCCCTGGTCCCAGCTGTTCCATCCTCAGAGCGCACCCACCTTACCTGCCCCCCTCCCCCAGTCCTGGGGCAGGCCCAGGGAGCATCAGCCCACCCAGCTGGACATGGCATCCCTGAGATGGAAGCCAGGGCCCACCCTCACCTTGTCAAAGAAAGAAAACTCCTGCAGAGTCCCGTACTTCCCCACCGCAGCGATGGACAGGTCTTTGGTACCACGAAGTTTCATTTTTTTCTGTGGGGAGAAATTCCATGCAGTTAACTCTGCCTCCCACCGGTGGCCTCTATCCGTCGCTGTCACAGAGTCACAAGAAGGCTAAGACCGTGCTTTCCTTTGGGAACTGCCACAAGGTGCTCAGCGAGGGATAGGCAGGAGCCTCCCAGTTACCCAGGATCCCCGAGATGACACCTCTGCAGCTACCCGCCACTGCCAAATCTGGGATCTCCATCTCAGAGGGTAGGGCTTTGGGTAACAGGCAAGACTGCCACAGCATCCAAACGGCAAGGGAGATGTGCCCCTGGCTACGACAACCTCAGAATCCTCTCCCTGTTTTGTCCTGAGGGCCAAGACAGCAACAAGAAGCGGACAGGAAGAGGGTTGCACTGGGAAGGCCCTGGAGAAGCCAAGTGTTGAGTCTCTGCAGGCTTTTGTCTCTAAGCTGGACTTGGACCTGAACTTGGACACACAATCATGGCAAGAAGGACAACACTGTCCATCCAGAACTATCTCCAAAGTGCCTGAAGAATGGGGATGAGCTGGGTGCAGGGGTTCACGCCTGTAATCCCAACACTTTGGGAGGCTGAGGTGGGAGGACTGTTTGAGCCCAAGAGTTTGAGACCAGCCTGGCCAACATGGTGAAACCTCATCTCTACAAAAAGGTGTGGTGGTGCACACCTGTGGTCCCAGCTACTTGGAAGGCTGAGGTGAGAGGACAGCTAGAGCCCAGAAGTCAAGGCTGACTGTGCCACTGCACTCCAGCCTGGGTGGCGGAGTGAAAGCCCATTCCCCTACCAAAGAAAGAATGATGAGGACATGCCAAAAGGACACAGGAGCCAAAGGGACCCTACCGGCCAAATGTGGAACAGCATGGACATCAACACTAGAACGGATTATAACCCAGAGTCCATATCTAATATACATAACTAAATAAGTGGGAGAACGAGGAAGTTCCCACCAATAGTAGAAAGCCAAGTAGTAACCGCACGAGGAATAATGGAATCGGAAAACCACCACTGCAGGTGAAGGGCGTGACAGGATCTCTGCCCTCAGCTCTGCAGTGACCAACCCGAACAAACGTGCATGGTGGCCTTGCCTGTGAGAGAGTCCCGAGGGTGAAAAGGAGACTGAGTGGTACACCGTGTTTCTTGGGACCTAGGGCGGGGGTAACACTCCTTCCTCCTCTGCTTCACAATAATCTCAAGGGACAGGGAGAATGGATGAACAGCCACCTTAGAGAAGAGCCGACTTCCAAAGGTCCCACCGCTGGGGAATCTCACACAGCCCCAGGTCCAGCCCCAAACCCCTGCGGGGGCCTCTGTTCCCTGGCCACCTGCTGGGAAGGCCCGATTTGCTGGGGCCCCTGCATGCGAGCACGGCTGCGCGCGGCTGACGGGTACCTTGGCGGGTGCAGACACGGGGCGGAGAAGCGAGGGCCGGGAGCGCTTCCTGCTGTGCTCTGGGGTCTTGTCGTGCTCGTTCTTCTGCACACTGTGCATCTCGCATGGCCCGTTTCCTGTAAACTGAGGACACACGTGGGAGGTGGTCAGCACCGGAGACATGGCTGGGCCCATGCACCAGAGCATGCAGAGCTGCTTCCAGCTCAGCCCACAGCCCGGTGGGCACTGGTGGCCACAGGCGCCAGGCCAGATGCTCCGTCAGTGCGTGAGGTGACTCCAGCAAGACACTCACATTCCAAGGTAACCGAATCATCACAGACTAACACTGCCAGGCTAGGAGAAGGTTCCTGTGAGGCCTTCATGGGTGAGGGAGGGAGAGGGGCCAGGGGTTTCAGGAGGGAGACACCTGAGTTGGGTCTTCCCATGCGGGGGCTCATGTGGCGAGCCACTGGTGGGGCACCTCGCCGCGTGCATGCCAGTGCCACAGAAACACAAGGTGCAGTGGACAGAGAAACAGGCAGCAAGGGGAAGTGGCTGATTTTCGCCAGGGCACTGGTGGGGGCCTTGGGGCCAGGTTTTGAAGTCTTTTCTATGAATGAGAAAGCGTTTCTGGGGGATGATGTCGTCACTTGCCGGGAGCGGAGTGGGGCTCGTGGCTGGTTTGGGGCCTGCCTCCCAGGCTCTACACCAGCCATCGGCTAACAGGTCAAGGATGCTTGTCCCGAGAAGGGTGCCTACAGGGTGCCAATGACATTACAAAGAACTGTTTTGCAACAGTCTATTATGAACATACTGGAAGGCTGGACGGGCAGGGGACGATGGACAGACCGCAGCTTTTCTGCAGGATGTGGGCAAGGCTGGAGAGGCCCTACAAGGTTCTGTGCTACTGCGGTCACCTCCATCGTACTCCCCCTTCCCCTGCCACCACAGGACCGGCACAAAAAGACACCTCTAAAGACCTAAAGTGTGGGTGAGGTGGACAAGTCGTGGTGCATCTGAACAAATCAGCCAGCAGCGATCAGATACCATGAGCTGGCTCTGGGCTGCTGTTAGAGACGGGCATACCTGAAATAAAACAAACAAACAACAACAAAAAAAATAAATAAATAAGGAAAAAACCCAAAAACCAAGGGGCAGAACAAACAGGATGTCGTGTGTTACTTTGTAAAAAGTATTTGTTGCACATGCAGAAGAAATTTCTGGAAAGATATAAGACACTTAGAAGTGCTAACCTTTGAACAGAACTGAGTCAAGGGAGAGGAAGTTTGCATTAAAAATTTGATACTCCTGCTAATATTTATTTTTTCGTTAGTGTATACGGTTTTTACAATAATAATAAAGACATTATTTAGCCACAATACTACTACTACTAATAATAAAGACTTACTATTTAGCCACTGCCAAGACTCAGAAGAATTAAACTTATTTGGGGGGAATAATTACCCAAAACTCAAGGTTATTTCGAGAGCTGTAAGTGGAGACATTGGCATCTACACAACAATTCTCCACTGGTACATCTTTTTTTTTTTTTTTTTTTTTTTTTTTTTTTTGAGACGGAGTCTCGCTCTGTCACCCAGGCTAGAGTGCAGTGGTGTGATCTCAGCTCACTGCAACCTCTGTCTCCTGGGTTCAAGTAATTCTCTTGCCTCAGCCTTTCGAGTAGCTGGGATTACAGGCACGAGCCATCACGTGTGGCAATTTTTTGTGGATGCTGGAACAGGTGCAAACTGATTCCCAAAAGATGCAGCTGGGCAACCATATGACAAATGCTGAACAAGAACGGGGGACCTGGAGGGGAAACCTGCCACGCGTCCAGCCAAGTTCACCAAGCAGGTATAGCAGATCTTCCCCAGCGGTTCACATGGTTCTTGCTTTTCAGTTAATCTCCCAATCATGTGAACATCTGAGCTAGATGGACGCCCAAAGACCACCTAGGCTAGGGAATGGCAAATTAACACAGGGCGTGTTTTCATAAATAAAATTTTTTCAGCACCTAGCCACACCCATTCCTTTTGTAAAGACTTACTGGTACCCAGTCATGCCCATTCATTTTGTAAATAGTTTTGTTGGTACCCAGTCATACCCATTCATTTTGTAAATAAAGTTTTATTGTCACACAGCCCTGCCCAGTCATTGACATATATATTCCATGACTGCTTTCAAGCTACTAGGGCAGAGGTGAGTCTTTACACAGAGATCAGCTGGCCTGCAAAGCCTGTGATATTTACTATCTGGCCCTTTGCAGAAAAGGTTTGCCAACCTCTGATCCAGGCCAGTCAAATTTAATTAGGGCAATGCCGAATTTCATCTTGGTTTCTTTTTCCTACAGTTTTAATATACATCCAAAAGTTAACATAAAGATTATACTTCACGCAACAGATGCTGCAGTGCTTTTAATAATTTTAAAAAGTTGATCCCATCTTTCTAAATATACAAGATGGCTCTAAGAACCCAATACACACTAAAAATCTTAAATTGGTAACAAATGTTATTTAAGAGTCTCATGCTCTACTGACTGAGCTAGCCGGGCGCCCTGCATAAATGCCACTTAAAGAAACCATGGACTGGGCACAGTGGCACCTGCCTGTAATCCTAACACTTTGGGAGGCCGAGGTGGGAGGATCGCTTGAGGCCAGGAGTCTGAGACCAACCTGGGCAACACTGTGAGACTCTGTCTCTACAATTAAAAAATAAAAGCAGGCCGGGCGCAGTGGCTCACGCCTGTAATCCCAGCACTTTGGGAGACTGAGGCAGGTGGATCGCTTGAGGCCAGGAGCTCGAGACCAGTCTGGGCAACATGGCGAATCCCTGTCTCTATAAAAAATACAAAAACTGGCCTGGCATCGTGGTGGTGCCTGTAGTCCCAGATACTCAGGAGGCTGAGGTGGGAGGATCACCTGAGCCTGGGAGATGGAGGTTGCAGTGAACCGTGATCAATTATGCCACTGCACTCCAGCCTGGGTGACAGAGAGAAAGCTTGTCTCAAAAAACAAAAACAAACAAACTTTAATGCAATAAAACTTCACACACTAATGGCTACTAAAAAAAAAAAAAAAAGGCAAAAAAAGAAAAAAACCTGGAAAAGAACAAATGTTGGCCAAGATGTGGAGAGACAGAAACCGCAGTCCATTGCTGATGGGAATGTAAAATGGTGCAGTCACTGAAGAAAACAGTTTGGAGGCTCTTCAAAGAGTCAAACACAGAATTACCATGTGACCCAGCAATTCCACTCTTAGGTGTCTACCCAAAAGAACTGAAAACAGGTGTTCAAACAAATCCTTGTAATGAATGTTGATGGCGGCACTGTTCACAATAGCCAAAAGGTAGACACAACCCAAATGTCCATCAACAGAATATGGATAAACAGAATGTGGCTCATCCATCTAACACAGTATGATTCAGTCAGGAAAAGGAATGAGCACTGAACTATGGTAATACATGGATGAACCTTGAAAACATGATGCTGAGTGAGAGAAGCCAGACACAAAGGCCACATAGGGTGATATTCCACCAATCTGAAATGTCCAGAATGGGCGAATCAAATTCACAGAAACAGGAAGCACATGGGCAGTTGCCAGGAGCTGGGGGAGGGGAAAGGGGTGGCTGCTGATGGAGATGGGGTCTCCTTTCAAGGGAACGAAAATGTTCTAGCACTAGGTAGTGGTGAAGGTTGTACAACACTGAGGATGTACTATATGCGATGGATTGTTCACTTTCAAAGGTGAATTTGATGTTACATAAATGTCACTTCAATTTTTTTAAAAGTCTTATGTTCACAGTGGGGGAAAAAAGAGGAACTGGAACAGGCAGCGCTGGCAGCTTCAGGCCACAGGCAGGAGAGAAAGGCTGACCGTGCAGGGTGAGCCCTGAGCCTCCCTGTCTAAGGCCCCTCCTTGCCCATCTCTGCTCTCTACCATCATGGTCAGGGCCAGGCCACAGGCCACCCCTGGCTCTTCCAGATCCAACCTGCTGGAGCTCCAGATCGGTCTCACCCAACAGGGGAAGCGATGGTGGGGGACCCAGCCCTCCTGCACCTTCCCACAGGGCTGGGCTCCCAGGCAGGGTGGGGCTCTGCAGAGCAGGCACAGGAGGTGGAACCCCTGGGCCCATCATCTCCATTGGAACGTGCTCTCTGCTTCCCAAACCACCCCAAGACCCGGGTACTGTCTGTACAGAGAAGCACCTTGGAGAATCGTTTACGAGCTTGCTGGGCAGGTGGAGCCTACAGTGAGGAACCCCTGGGTATTGCAACCTGCGTAGCTTCTGGGGGACCCCAACTGTGGCCTGGAGGGTGGATGGGCCTGGCGCAGCCCTGGGTCAAGCTGGCTGGAGCCCTCCCTCCTCGCTGAGGCCCCCCAGGCTAGGCAGGGGCTCTCTGCACTCACCAGAGACCGCTTGGCTTCGGGCAGGAATTGTCCAAACTCGGAGAGCAGGTCCTCCTGGCCCCGGAAGAGGTTGGCCACCTCGGTGAACACCTCCTCTTCGGACATGCCTCGGAACGGTCGGCCCCTCGTGTTCAGCTGCTCCTTCTGCCAGTTTTCAGAAAAGGGAAAACAAGTCATTAGCCAAGGAGTGCTATGCCCTGGGCTGGGACACTCAGGCAGCCCTCTGTGAAGGGGACGGGATGACGCTCAGGAAAGAGCACCTGCCGGAGGAGCCCACAGGACTGTCTGCTCACGTGTGCATCTTGCTGCCCAGCATGGCCTGAGCCCCAGCCATGGGCAGGGCCTGTCCAGGAGTATGGGGGGGTCTCGAGGAGGGACACCCAGCAGTGTCCACGAGCAGAGGAGGCAGGGAGGTGTGAGGCTGGCTGGAATCAGGGGTGGGCTGGGGAAGTACAAGGTCAGGGGCAAATCCCAGGCCTTCCCAAGGGAAATGGGGAGTATGGAACGGGGGAGCGCTGGGCCATGAAGGGAAGGGACTTCCAAGCCGAGGCACCTATTGGCCCAGAGTCACTGAGACCCAAGGAAAATGGCCTGATCCAGAGCTTAAAGCAACAAGAGGACCAAAGGGAATCCAGGTTGGAAGGCAGAAATGGGCCAGCAAAACCGAGATGGCTGTTAGAAATATGTCCTTATCAATTTTACACCCAAGACTGTCACAGAACAAGAGGCAGTGGAGCCGGGGCCTCCCAGATAATATGGCGTGGCTTCCAGAGTCCCACTCCATGGCTGCAAAGCAGGAAGAGTCCCTGCGCTGGCACCTCCCGCCCCTCTGCGCCCACTGCAGCCTGTGGGAAGGGAAGCAAGTTTTAAATCTTGGCACCAGTGGCACCTAAACTGCAGGGGATAAAAACACTACCCTTCCAAAAAGTCATCAAAAGCCACTAAAAAGCAAAACTTAAAAATGAGCAAAGACCACTCAGTTCAGATAATAAATAGAAATGATCCATCTGCATACAGACAGAACGACGACCACACTGACTGAAGTTTAGAGAAACAATTTAGGCTGGGCATGACGGCTCATGCCTATAATTCCAGCACTTTGGGAGGCTGAGGCAGGAGACTGGCTTCAGTCCAGGAGTTCAAGACCAGCCTGGGCAATACAGTGAGACCCTATCTTTACAAAAAATTTTACACTTGATTTTAGCCAAAAGGCTGAGAAATCATTTTTAAAAAAAATATTTAAACATTATGTAGGCATAGTGACACCCTCCTGTGGTCCTAGTTACTTGGGAGGCTGAGGCAAAAGGATTGCTTAGGCCCATGACCTCAAGGCTGCAGTAAGCTAGGACCATGACAGTGCATACTCCAGCCTGGGCAACAGAGCAAGATCTTATCTAAAATAAATAAAGAAGAAAAGAAACAATGACCAAACTGACTGATGTTTAAAGAAACAATTTAAAACAGTGCCACAGCCATCTTCTGCTCATCTGACTACGCAGACAGAAGAGGCTGGGATTTCCGTTGAGGGTGTGGGGAACTGGTGCTCTCAAACATGGAAGGCAAGACCAGGCACGGTGGCTCACACCTGTAATCCCACCACTTTGGGAGGCCGAGGCAGGCAGATCACCTGAGGTCAGGAGTTCAAGACCAGCCTGGCCAACATGGTGAAATTCTACCTCCAATAAAAATACAAAAATTACCCAGGTGTGGTGGCGCGTGCCTGTAGTCCCAGCTACTTGGGACACTGAAGCAGGAGAATCACTTGAGCCTGGGAGGTAAAGGCTGCAGTGAGCCGAGATTGCGCTACTGCACTCCAGTCTGGGTGACAGAGTAAGACTCCGTCTCAAAAAAACAAACAATCAAACACCTAAGGCAGAAAGACAAATTTGTACCACCTTTTAGAGGGAAATTTAGTGATCTCTATGAATGCATAGTACACCCTCAACTTAGAGAAGCAGTTTGTGGAAATTCATGCTGCAGAGAGTCAGTTCTGCTAGAATGCTTATTTTGAACGAGACGTCTGTCTAAATGAGATACAAGTACTGGGAATAATTTGAACACGAGATGAATTTTGTGTTTGCTTCTCTTCTATTTTGTGCAGGAGAAACACCAGGTGAATGCAGACACTGCTCCTGGCTGACCAGGACCCCGTGGGAGTATGCAAAACCACGCCAGCACCCCCTCTCATGTCCGGGCACTCTCTCAGTGTTGTGTTCCCCTGTGTTAGGGGCCAGCCCTGTCCCCATCTGAGGCCACGATGACCTGTCTGATTTCAGATATCCTCCTCCTGGCCTTCACATAATTCACAGGCTGCCACCACATCCACAAACCAACCTCAGGTCTCTTCCAAGGTCAGTACCCTATTTGCTGTAGCATTCATGTAATTCCTAGACACTTAACACGCACACAACGGTGCTGCTGTTTAGAGTCGGCGCCTATCTTTTTTTAAGTGTCACTGAGGAAGTTTTTGAATGTCATACCCTGAGTCTGTTTCCCCACGAACCCTGCAGTTCCCATGACACTCTGCAACTGTGCAGAGTGAGCTCATTTTTAGGGACCCACTTATGTGAGGGTAGGACTAACCGTTTGCCCCAGCACACACAGGACACGCGTACGTGGCTGTATAATGGGTGACAGTTACCAAGGGGTGACCTGAGACAGGCTTGTGCCTGAATTTGTTGCTCAGTTAACCTCACTGAACCCAGGCTCGCTGGCACCACCAGTTCTGTAGCCATTTTATGGATAAGAACCCCGAGGGAGAAGGTGGCAGAGAGAAAGTCTGAAGGAAAATCCCACAAAGATGGAGAAACAGTAAGTAACACATGGCCAGATGGACCCTAGAGCTGCCTGGTTTGGTTCTAACAGTATCCCTGAAATACCTGAACCAACATTCTAAAACCAGGATAATTTACACAACAATTCAGACTTATATTTAAAAAAAATAGACAACCTGAGGCTGGTGTCACCAGGAGCCTGGTTTAAAATGCAGATACCATCCAGCTGGATGCGGTGGCCCACGCCTGTAATCCCAGTACTTTGGGAGGCCGAGGTGGGTGCATCACTTGAGGCCAGGAGTTCAAGACCCACCTGGGCAACATGGTGAAACTCCATCTCCTCAAAAAATACAAACATTAGCCTGGTGTGGTGGTGAGTGCCTGTAGTCCCAGTCACTCAGGAGGCTGAGGTGGGAGGATTGCTTGATCCCGGAGAAGTAGAGGCTGCAGTGAGCCATGATGATGCCACTGCACTCCAGCCTGGGCAACAGTGAGACCCAGTCTCGGAAAAAAAAAAAACAACAAAGAAACTGTGCCGATGCCAGGCGGGCCCTGATGAATGGGAATCCTGCATGGCGGCCCAGGTGTCTGCATTCTCAACCAACTCCCAGCAGCCTGGTTTGGGTTCCGGGATACTGCACTGTCCTTCCCATGGCACTCTCTCTGAAGGAGTCTGTGGCAGCCCCTCACTGTGACCTCGTCTAAATGCATCTCTGGCGTCTCTAACCTGCCCCTTCCCGTGCCACAGAACAGAGTCACTGCTCTCCCGTGCCACTGCACAGACTGCTCTCCCGCGCCTTCCGAAATGTGATGAGCCCATGAAGCCTGGGAGGGGCCCATGGATTCTATGATCACAAGCACATCCCTCCACACAGACGAGACGCTCACAGCAGCCACCGGCAACCACTCATCCATGACAAGCTAGCGTTCTTAGGGCTGTACCAGCCTCTCACAGACACTAAGGCCCATGATGACGCTGGCACGGTGGACAGCAAATGCCTTGGAGTTCCCAGCGTGCAAATTCTATCCATCTGATCTTAAACACTTAAGCTGAAAAGAACCCCATTTCTTTACTCGACATGTCAAGGCTGCCCGGATTTCATTTTAAAATATTTCTGCTAATTAGCCAGGCGTGGTGGCCCAGGCCTGTAGTCCCAGCTGCTCAGGAGGCTGAGGCAGGAGAATCGTTTGAACCTAGGGGGCCGAGATTGCAGTGAGCTGAGATTGAGCCACTGCACTCCAGCCTGGGTGACAGCAAGACTCCATTTAAAAAAAGAAAAAAAAATGGGTTCTGCGGCTAAAAAAACTTACAAGTGTTAGAGACTCCACGTCTGGGTGAAAAGGACATCTAAGCCCCACTCATGACACAGATGTCCCTCGCCACCAGCCCACCTGCACTGCCCAAGTCTCCTACAGACGCCCTGATGCCGCTGTCTGCTCTGGCCCCTGGACCCCTGCACAGGCTGTTCCTGGCACCGAGAACATCCACCCTTCCTCCAGGCTAACCTGCCTACTGGTTCCGACTGATCTGTTAAGATTCAACCTGACCATCTGCTCCCTGGCCCCGGACGGGCTGGGAACCGGGCTGGGAACCATGTTAATCCTGACTCACCTCTCCTGCCCACATCCTTTCTTTTCCACCCCAATCCACCTCTGAGTTTCTTCCCACCACTGCAATGAACAGCTAAGCAGGAGCAGCCATTTGTCTCTGTAGCCCCAGTTCCTGGTGCCGAGTCCAGTTGTCATCAGCAAAGTAAAGGGTGGTCGTATTGCCTAAGCAATAACAAAGTCATCTGATAAAAAGACGGTCTTGGCCAGGTGTGGTGATGCACACCTGTAGTCCCAGCTACTTGGAGGGCTGAGGCAGGAGGACTGCTTGAGCCCAGGAGGTCGAGGCTGCAGTGAGCTATTATCACACCACTGCACTCCAACCTGGGTGACAGAGGAAGACCCTGTCTCAAACAAACAAACAAACAAAGATGACTGGGCACGGTGGCTCTCACCTGTAATCCCAGCACTTTGGGAGGCTGAGGTGGATGGACTGTCTGAGCTCAGGAGTTTGTGACCAGCCTGGGCAACATGGCAAAACCCTGTCTCCACAGAAAATACAAAAGTTAGCTAGGTGTGGTGACGCGCGCCCATGTTCTAGCCCCAAGTAGCCTCCGCTACTTGGGAGGCTGAGGATGGAGGATGGCTTGAGCCCAGGAGGTAGAGGCTGCAGTGAGCCAAGTCTGTGCCACTACACTCCAGCCTGGGCAACAGAGCCAGACTCTGTCTAAGAAAAAACAAACATAAAAGCCCACAACTAATTAGAATTTCACAGGATTTTATGAATTCTGACAGGAAAATCTGTCAGATATCTGCAGGGCCTCAAACTGGATGAAATCCAAAACCCACAAGGAATTGTAATCTGAGCTCTTACCTGGTACGTGTGCAGGATCTCCAGGAACGACCTGTAGATTTCCGGGTGGTCTAGGAAGCGGGTCTTAATCTTATTCACATAGCTGATGGCGTTGTTGAATTCCACGGAATCGGACTCCAGGGGTACCTGGGGTTTGTCCTCTTTATACGGCACCTGCTGCTTGAAGTCCTCTGCACCGTCCCCGTGGTTGTGCGAATTCTCCTGACAAGGCGACAATGAGTTACTGCCAGGCCCGACGCCGGAAACAGACTGTGAAAAACGCCAGGCCCAGCCACTGTCTGCACAGGAACAGAAAAAACTCAGCACGGAGCCAGGTTTTATTAGAGACAGGGAAAGGTTACTTCTGAGAGCCCGGAGGCAAGCAGGGCGGGGTGCACAGGTGAGTCTCCCCAGTTCACCTCCGCCCGATCCTTACCCATCTACTCAAAGAACACTACAAGTTCAATGAGCACCTTCCATTTGGAAAACTTCACATTCAGGAGAAATGTACAAAGTGGATGTTGAAGCCTCTGCGGCGCCAAGTGCTAGGCTGCGTATAATAGAGAAGTCTCCCACGCCTTCTGCAATCTGTTTCAGCAAGATTGCCTTCACGTGGGAAGGCACCTGCTGCCAACAGTGATGCCAAGGTAGGATACATAAGGTGGGGACCCTGGAGGTTAGAGGCGACCCACCGTCCAGGTTGTTGGGGACTTCAAGGGACATGACATTTTTGGTGCTAAGCCCCAGGCCAATCGCAACGAGGTGCATCGGTTGCTTGGGAGAAAAGACAGGCCCTGAACACCCACCAAGAATGCCCTCTATGCGTGTACTTTGCAGCCGATATGAGCAAAAACAGAAACAAGCTTGCCTCCCTCCTATGTTGTGGTGGGACAGGACCACGCCCCCAAAGAAGCAGCTGTTGTTTCTAAACCAGAATTATGCTGCACTATCCCCAGCACACAAGGGCTGGGTCTCCAGCCAGTCAGGATTCCTCCAGCCTGGCTGAGGTTTTTGCTTGGACAACCCCTGCGTGGTGAGTCCCAGAGAACGCTCTTTCACCAAAGTAAAATGACACCACCTCCCAGCACTCCTGCAATTTTCTCCGTGGCCCCTGTCGCTACCTTACGGATCATATGTTTTACTCATTGTATTGTCTGCCAGTCCCTGACTAGATAGATGGTGGACTCCACGAGGGTGGGGGTTTTGATCAGGGCTGTATCCTCAGTGCCTGGAACAGTGTGAGGAACAGAGTGGGCTTCACCCCGTTGGGGATGATAAAGTGAACGGATGAAGGGACACACAGACTTCACTGTTTCCGCTGCCCTGCGGTGCCCAACACTGCATGTGACCCAAACGCTGACCCTGAGGATCTACTGGGACAGGCAAGGCCAGGCACACCACTGCTGTCTTGTACTGAAACAGGTACCTCTGCTGGGCACAGGCACCATCAGTGGGGTGAGTGCATTCATCAGCTCAGGCTGCCACAATGAGGTAGCCCAGACTGGCTGAAGCAACAGAAGTCAGTAGTTCTCAGTTCTGGAGGCCAGGAGGCCAAGGTCAAGGTGCCAGGAGGTTTGGTTTTCTGAGGCCTCCCTCCTTGGCTTGTGGACGGCCACTGTCTGTGTCCTCATGTGGTCGTCTCTCTGTGCACGCATGTCCCTGATGTGTGTTCCAATCTCCTCTTCTTATAACACCAATCAGACTGGATTAGGGCCCACCCCAATGGCCTCATTTAAATCACCTCTTCAAAGGCTCCATCTCCAAATACAGTCACGTTCTGAGGTGCTGGGGGCCAGGGCTAAAATACATGAATTTGGGATGGAATGTGGGGTGCGGGGATGACACAATTCTGCCCAGAACAATGGGTACAGAGACAATTCTCGAAAGTCTCAGCTGAGAAAAGCAGAAATACAAGACGCAGAGCAGCCGCGATTCTAAAACAATTTCTCCTGGTGGCGGGATTTGTTCTTTTTGTTTTGAGATGGAGTCTTGCTCTGTCTCCCAGGCTGGAATGCAGTGGCACGATCCCAGCTCACTGCAACCTTTGCCTCCCAGGTTCGAGTGATTCTCCTGCGTAGGTGGGATCACAGGCGCTGTGCGACCACGCCTGGCTAAATTTTGTATTTTTAGCAGAGATGGGGTTTCACCATGTTGGCCAGGCTGGTCTCGAACTCCTGACCTCAAGTGATCTGCCCACCTTGGCCTCCAAAGTGCTGAGATTGCAGGCGTAAACCACTGCGCCCAGTCAGTCGCAGGATTCTAAGATTCTCCGGGGATGTCCGCGAGGATTCTCTTTGCTCAGGCTCACAGGGGGCTGCGTCTGTTTCTCCGCGGTGCACAGGTTTGACGGCAGAAGGGGTTGGAACGCGCAGGGTGTGGGTATGTGGGGAAGCAGCATGGAGCCAAGGTCTGTTTCAGAGGCAGCTGTAGGCTCCCTGCGAGCCCCCCACCACTCCAAGGAGGCATTTCCAAGCTCCGCATGCATCTGATCCCCTAAAGTATACCACTGCGACAAGATGGGGAACCACGCTCTAGACCAGGGCTTGGCAAAAAGAGCCAGATGGGATGGTACAGCCACTGCGGGGGACAGTGTGGCAGTTCCCTCAACAGGCTGACCATGGAATTATTACTACCATATGACCCAGTAATCCCACTCCCAGGTCTATACCCAAGAGAACTGAAAACAGGTGCTCAGGCCAGCTGCAGTGGCTCACACCTGTAATTCTCGCACTTTAGGAGGTTGAGGTGGACAGATCATTTGAAGTCAGGAGTTTGAGACCAGCCTGGCCAACATGACAAAACCCCGTCTCCACTAAAAATACAAACATTAGCCAGGTGTGGTGGTGCACACCTGTAGTCTCAGCTACTTGGGAGGCTGAAGAACTGCTTGAACCCAGGAGGCCAAGAATGCACCACTGTACTCCAGCCTGGGCAACAAGAGCAAAACTCCATCTCAAAAAAAAAAAAAGAGCTGGGTGCAATGGCTCATGCCTGTAATCCCAACACTTTGGGAGGCCAAGGTGGGCGGATCACAAGGTCAGGAGTTCGAGACCAGCCTGGCCAACACGGTGAAACCCCATCTCTACTAAAAACACAAAAAAATTAGCCAGGTGTGGTGGCAGGAGCTTGTAATTCTGGCTACTTGGGAGGCTGAAGCAGGAGAATCCCTTGAACCTGGGAGGCAGAGGTTGCAGTGAGTTGAGACCCCGCCACTGTACTCCAGCCTGGGTGACACAGCGAGACCCTGTCTCAAAAAAAAAGAAAAACAGGTGTTCCAACACATCCTCACATATGAATGTTCGCTGCAGCACTACGCACAACAGCCGAAAGGTGGAAATAGGCCAAACATCCATCAACAGATGAGTGGGCACGCGAAATGTGGTCCCGCCACACACTGGAGAATGATTCAGTCTTGAGGAAGGAAGCACTGATACTGGCTCCGATGTGAATGACCCCGGAAAACACGATGCTGAGTGACATGACAAGCCAGACACCAACGGCCACACGATGTATGACCCCACTGATATGAAATGTCCAGAACAGGCAAATCCATAGAGATAGGAAGCAGACTCATGGTGGCCAGGGGCAAAGGGGAGAGAATTAGGAGGGTCAGGGTTTGATCTTGGGGTGACGTTAATGTTCTGGAATTAGTAGTGATGGTTGCACAGTATTGTGAATATACTAACACCTTAAACTGATGATGATGAATTTTATGTTATGTGAATAGTATCACAATATGAAATAGTTTTAAAAATTTAATCCTTTGAAACTGTAAAAATCACAACCAATCACGCTGAGCCAGGCTGGCTTTGGCCGCCAAGCCGCCATGTGCCGACTGTGCTGCTCTAAACCACCCAGCACAAGCCCAGCTTTCTCTCTCTCTTCTGGCACCTCCTCTCTCCCCGTGCCCTGCCGGCCTCATCAGGCAGAGTTTGAACTGCCTCCCACACCATGACAAACCATCCTGCGTGGCCGACACATCCATCTGAGCATCCACACACAGCCCCACCTGGGTACTGATTACCAGAGCCTCAAATGGCAGGCACCTCACAGACACACAGCAGCCCCCCAACCACCCCAGCCTTACGTACCTCAGCACCGGCCCACACTTTTACCCAGAGAATCAGGCATCCTGGGATCACCCCAGACTTCTCACTCTCACTGACACCCTCCCCGCTCCCGATCTACATCATTATCCACTCTGCCCTCATCACATGGGAACCCCCTCTGGTCTTTGTCACTAGTCACTCTGTCCCCATCACTCGGGGCAGCTCTCTGTTCCTTATCACTGTCCACTCCGTCCCTATCACTCGGGGGACCCCTCTCCAGTCCTTGTTACCATCCACTGTGTTCCTATCACTGTCTACTCAGTCCCCATCACTTGGGGACTGTCTTTGGTCCCTGTCACCATCCACTCTGTCCCCATCGCTGTCCACCTCTGTCCCCATCACTAGGGGGCCTTCTGCACTTGTTACCATCCATTCTGTCCTCATCACTTGGGGACTGTCTCTAGTCCTTGTCACCACCCTCTCTGTCCCCATCACTTGGGACCCTCTCTGGTCCTTGTCACCATCCACTCCATTTCCATCACTGTCTACCCCGCCTCCATTACTTGGGCCCCCTCCCTGGTCTCCCAGGGGCCTCCTGACCCCTGATTCTCAGCACAGCAGCAGAACCGCCTCCCAGAACCATCCGGTACTTCTCACGCTCCTGGCTCCCTCTCCCCCTTCTCTCCTTCAGCTCCTGACCCTGCCGTTCTCCTTGGCTGTTCCTCAAGCACACCCACTCACTCTCACCTCAGGCCATCACACCCCACCAGGAACAGTCCCTCATGAAACAGGTCCTGCCCACAGCACCTCCTCCCACCCTTCCTCGGCCTGCTCCATCCTCTCTCTGCCCCCTCCCGCACACAGCCCAACTCTGCCCATCTGTTTCTCACCGGACCCCCACCTTGACTGTACTGGAACCCTGAGAGCAGGGCCTCTGAATAAACCCCAGGGCCTGACTCGCAGAGCCCTCAATAAACTCCAGGGCCTGGATCGGAGAAGGGGTCACCGCCTGCTCCAAGAGCCAAGAATATACAAACACAAGAACTGACTTGTTGACAACTAGTGGGACTTCCCCCAGACAGTAGGCAGGGGGCTCCCTTTGAAAGTCGAAGGGCTGTTTATGTTAGGAGCTGCACGTTAAGGGGTTATCTCTATCTCTGTCCAAGCCGGTCG